GCACGAAAACACTTTAAAATTTATTGCACAGTAAAGTACATTAAAATAAAATACATTTATAAGAATAAAAAATAAAATACTACACAAAACAAAGGTGCATTACATAACCATCAGATTTTTAAATGCGTTAAAATACAAAAACATCAAAGGTAGAGCACAATAAAAACAAAACAACAATCAAAAGCTACAATATTATTGTGAACATTATTAATATTACTATTATAAAAATTATTATTATAATAACAGTGAGAATAATTATTATTTACACAATCACCATAAATATTGTAATTACAATTATTATTATTATTATTATTATTATTATTATTATTATTATTATTATTATTATTATAGTATCATCAATCCCAATTTCTTCGTTCGAAGTATTACCTCCTAAGGATGTTAAGCAATAAGCCAAGATACTTCTAACTTTAATTTCATGTTACGAAGTCAATACATTTTTCATCAGTTTATCAATGTCCCTCAATTTCGATTTCCTGGATTATCACCACACTGCAATTGTATATTTTTTTGCCGCCAATTTTCTTGATTACTATAGTTTAGAATAGAATAGGTCCCCTGTTGAAAATTACGAAGGTTCTGAATATCACTGAGTAGTATTTACTGTATTATTGCCTATTAGCCTTGGAAATAAGGAATAATGGTAAAGGTAACACCAGTGGCGAATTCACAAAGGGAACAATTATTTTTTTAAATGGTGAAAAAGAGGAAAATATCAATTAAATTAAGGTCTGAGAGTGCCATTTCCAGCCACCACCTAAAGGTGCCATAGGCCTAATCATAATTTTCTTACCTCAGCCCCAACCACGATGAGGCTGAGGTGGTATACACCCACCCGTCTACACTCTGTAAAATTGCCCTAGACTTTGAATTCCTAGATTTGTCACACTGGAAATTACGGAAGCACTTCTTAAGAGGAATTTCCTGGGAACGTGAATCAGTATTATTTTAATTCTTTAAAATTCAAAATACGACTCCTGAAAATTGAAAACATCGGACGGGGCTTTCAGGGGTTCCCGATCTCCTGAGGAATTACGACCCCAGCAAACCCCACCCCAGCTTTTAGCAGGCCTACAGCCAGCGCCGCTACATCAAAAGGCCCGGCAAATAATCTTGCACTCGGGCCCGTTCACACATAGCTACGCCGCTGTTCACAGAATCTCGAATTGGATGATAAACTGCTGGATAAATGAGCAGTTGGCGCTTCAGCTATCTCGTACGTACGAGTAAGTCGTACATGAGAAATAATTTTCTCGTACGAATATTATCTCGCACGTACGACTTATTATCTCGTACGTACGACTTATTATCTCGTACGTACGAATTATTATCTCGTACATTATCTTGTACGTACGAGAAAATTATCTCGTACGTACGACTTAATATCTCGTACGTAGAGATAACTGTCTAGTATGAAGCGCCTTAGGAGGTAATACTTCGAACGAAGGAATTGGGATTGATAATAATAATAATAATAATAATAATAATAATAATAATAATAATAATAATAATAATAATAATTACAATACTTATGGTGGTTGTATAAATAATAATTATTCTCATTGTTGTTATTATAATAATAATTATTATCATAGTAATATTAATAATAATGTTTACAACAATAATGCAGCTTTTGATTGTTGTTTTGCTTTTATTATGCTCTACCTTTAATGTTTTTGTATTTTAACGCATTTAAAAGTCTAATGATTACGTATGTAATGCACCTTTGTATTGTATAGTATTTAATTTCTTATTTTTATAAATGTATTTTACTTTAATGTACTTTACTGTGCATTAAAAGTGTTTTCGTACAAAACAATTTCTTCTTTTGGAAGCAGTAATTTTTTATTTTTTATTTTGATAACACCCGTCTAGGGGCAGATCCAGAAATTTTCAAATGATGAACGAGGTGGGTGTGGGTACAACAGTCTCCCAATAGGTAAGTGAGTAGCATATAACTTTGACTTGTATTATAAATTTTAAAATTTGGTGCCAAAACGGGAGTGGGGAACGTTCTCCCTACTGGATCCGCCTCTGCCGTGAACTGTCTTTGGGCCCCCATTTTAAACCCCGTCAAGGAATGGTAGTCAGCAATTTAAAAAAAAAAACAACAAAAAAGAGTATTATACAATGCACCCCCTAATTCGAAGCCTAGCCCAAAACCAAAGTTGGGGAGGCAACCTCTTTTTAATTACCAAACACAATAGAGAAAATTAGGTAAGGAAATTACCTATCCTTAAGAGCAATTATATTTGAACGCAAGGTCCACCCCACCCCCTTGACATGTTATGCCCCATGTATAGTCGTTACCGTACGCTATCTTATTTTCATGTCCTTATCCACTAACAACCATTTTCCGAGCCGAAGTGTTGTTATATCAGAGTATAAATAAATGCATGCCTTAGGCAGTCGGCGCTTCATACTACATATTTATCTCGTACGTACGAGATAATTATCTCGTACGTACGAGATATTATCTCGTACGTATGAGATATTAAGTCGTACGTACGAGATATTATCTCGTACGTACGCGATATTAACTCGTACGTACGAGATATTAACTCGTACGTACGAGATATTATCTCGTACGTACGAGATATTATCTCGTACGTACGAGATAATGGCTCAAAATTATTTTTACGTTGGCAGCAATACGCTTCCGTAAAAAACAACGCCTAAGCCTCATAAAAAACTTGGTTTACACAGAATTGTTCCATCCTGTTGTATTGGCAAGTGTATAATAATAAGATAATATGTTAGACTTACATAGCGATTCATGTCAACGAAGCCTATAAGAACTTCAAATTATCACCGGGTACCCGGTGATTGGATCAAGCACATCAGTATGGAACACATACTCAGCTCCCTGGGGACAGTGGTGGCGCCAGCGGGGGAAGGGGTATCCCCATCGGACAGGCATGGACCCCATGTCGTCCGACGCACAATTAGGTAGTTTGATCAAAAATTGTAAATATTTAGGCTATCCAAATGTTATTTTGATTGGCAATCCCTAATATGTTGGTCTAAAAGCAATTTTTTGGCCACACATAAGCCAAAAAATACCGTTCGCTGAACCCTACCAGGGATTTTTTATTATTCGAGATTTCGTCGGTCCTTTGTTCGGACCCCTTCGTCGAACATGTTCGGACCCCTTGTCGGCAAATTTCTGGCGCCATCGCTGTCTGGGGAGAATTTCTAAACTTGCAGCTGTAATAAGTGCATTTTGTGTTTGAACCTACCACGTGCCCACTTGTACTCCTGGGTGTAGAGGGACGACCGTATAGGTAAATTGCCTTACGAAAGGACAGAAGCGAAATACACAGCGAGGGATTGAACCTCCGACCTCAGGTTTGAGAAGCAGAACCACAACCACCTCGCTACCGCTCAGACAAAATCGAATGGCATCTTTTTTTAATCTTCAGATAATATCGATACTTTGCTTCATGCCTGGGTATGGTATGGTCACTGTTTGTAACACTTACTTTGCTGCGGTAAGTATGGTTAAGTCTAAGTCAAAGTTAACTTCTTCTCGTTTCATTGAATGCCCATTTCTCTATACGTTAGTAATAATATAGGCATAACCAAATATACTCTTTATGGCTCTTAATATCTTTTCGTCTCATGAATTATTAGTAAATTATAATCATCATTTTTGTACATATGAGCATAAATATTAACGTAAAATTTTACATATCATATAAAATCATAAAAAATTGGATGCTCATAAAATAGGAGACCCGAATTCGACTTCCATACACACTCTCACACACACATAGCAAATACAATTCAGAAAGTAACACGTAGTACACATACAAATATTGCCACTGTGCAATCGCTTTGACAGCGAGAGTTCACAGGACCAACCAACCAACCAATCAATCAATCAATCAATCAATCAATCAAGAATTTATATAGCGCCAATATCCACGGTAGAATGCAATGTTCAGTGGCGCTATGACAATGACATGACTCAAAAAGTGCACATTAATACCTACTCATGTTAAAATTCCCGCCAACTGATAAGGAGGAGCTTCGCTGGAAACTATTACGCTAGATAAGATTAACATCAACCTATCAGTCAATCAACAAGGATTTATATAGTGCCAATATCCATGATATTGCACATTAACTACATACTGAAGTTAATTAACAATGCTTGTAAGATTATCTGAGCATTATTTTCACCATTTTAGCATTTTGTTTATTAATATACTGATAATGATTGTAGCAATTAACGCATTACTAGGGATTTGGATCTACAGATGGCCAAAAGCAAGAAACCATTCTTCAAAAATCGTTGATACTTTCCGGTCTTGTGTCACTACTTTGCTGGGCATTACTGATCAATACGGAGAGTATACTAAGACTATTACAACAAGAAGAATCTATTGTACTGCAAGTCAACTTTAATATTATAGAATTATGTAGGCCTATCTATAATTCAGATAAAAAAATATTAACAAAGACACGCTTTACTAAACACAATTATAAATTGAGATGTTTTCCTCTATTTGAGGTTCTTTCTCTTTCTGGTTCCCGTCTTGTCATTACTAACCTGCAGAGTCACGCTTTGGTCACCAGTTTGTTGTTGTAATAGTCCTACAATGCTGTAATAATTGAAACAAATTTTTTTTTAATTTATCCATAACATTTCAGGATGGTAGGTGTACTTGTGCGTGCCTATTTACCAGCCGTACCCGTAAGTGGCCTACGTTTCATATCAACATTATTTTTATAGCCATTCATCAAGCCTTGACATTAAAATTCTGATTAACAGTAAAACAAAATCTCTCGATGACTGGTTAAGACCGGGCTGAAATGGAAAACTACATTGCCCTACGTAGCCTTTCCTTACAACATTTCGAATTACAACTTAAGTTAAAATTAAAATCGATAACATTAAGCATGTGTTCCAATTCAACACAGGCGGTATTTGCATCCTTTGTTTTGAGCCGTTTTTTACAATGTCGAAACCACGAGATGATAACCATGGTTGCTATGGTAGTTGCAGCAGTTGTCAACATTCTTCTCAACTATTTGTTCGTTATAGTGATGAAAGGGGGAGCAAGGTAAACCACATTAGTTCATTCACTACTTATTTATATAATTCGTCATATTTAATAGAGGTCTAGGCATACACTAATTTTTGTAAAGAAACACTCAGGTTCCTATATTTACATACTGTAGCTAATATCA